CTAGGTGCGAAAAAAATTGCATTGTTTTATGCTGCACTAATCCACTACTAATCCTCCTGCCTTTAGCTTTATATTGCGATATAATATTCGGGCTGTAGAAGCCTGTCTATGGACTCTGTTATAGCAGATTGTCGAGTGATTTATTGACGCCTAGCATCACAAATATTCAAACACATTGACTACTATACGAATTATTTGTATTACTGTATAGATTATGAAAATATTTTAATTACAAAACTATATCTCATAATAAATGTGATCAAAGTGTAGACAAATAGAGACTTGGAATCTAATATGATTTGGAAAATTTGAACATTCAACCCAGCTTATTTGTTGACATATAATTTATTAAAACTGGACAGTTTTCCTGTATATAAGGATTTGATATGATACACAAACAATAATAAATAATTAAAAAGTAGTTTGTCCATTGTTAATGCATATAAAGCCCAAAATGGTAAAAATTGAAAATAAAAAAGACAGATATCGTGGTAACTTGTACTTTTAATCATAATTAATTTAAGAAAAATTTGGTTTATAGGTTCGCGATGTCCCCTCCTCCACCCTACGAAAATTTAACATGGGTTTACAGCTTAATCCTATGAGTCATAGGCTATGATTATACTTTAATACAGAACTCCTCCCATAGGTTAACAGTAATAATGTTAAATTTAACATAGCTAATGCTGCGTCTGGTGTAATGCTAATTCTATTGGTAATGTTAAGTCTATTAATAATGCTTATCTTAAGGAATAAGTATAGAAATAACTGATAATATAGCATTAATAACAAATAAAATTATCATAAAAATAGAGTAACAATAAAATTGCAAAATTTTCAAAATACAAACGATAAGACTAAAATAGTAATGAAAACTTTTGAAAAATGACATTCTCTTAACAAAATATTTAAAATTAAAAAGATGTTCCAATTGATTTTTTAAACAACTATTTGTGAACACCTATTCTTTTAGCATAACCCGAATTGTGGTATCTTTTTTATAATATTGAATATAAAGTTGTCAGAGGGGAATACGACAGGGGGTTCGCGGTAACGGTGTAGCCTTGGTTTCGGGTGTATAGCGCTGAACTCCTCTACAGGATTCCGGTGGTAGAGCGGTCCGGTTTCCAGTAGACCTGTTGGATGACAATAACCTCTGGAGTCGCGCTGAGTACTTATCTGTGTCTGGATTGCCGTCGAGTAGCACAAGTAGACGGGAATCCGGTGTAGTGTTTGCTTTGGGTCTTCACGACTAGTCCTATAACCCACAGCCCACGACAACAAAGCAAGTAATAGACAAGGGTTTGCTAAAACTAACTTTATTGCTCGAATGCTGGAGTAGAACTGAAGGGTTTTAGCCTACAGTCTGCTCCTTATATGCGCGTTGTCTTATCTCCTGAAGGGAGTTGACATTGAGTTAAACTGAAAATTACAATATCTCCTGAAAGGAGTGGAAAAACAATTGACTTGTAGTCATAGAATAATAGTGATAATTAGGCAAAGTTAAGTAAAACATTAGGAGAATTAGGGGTCAGTTCTTAATAATAGATAAAGAGTTGAGGGCTGATCCCCTAATTACAGTCGTTGGTCAATTCATCCCTGACAAAGTCAACATTTTGTTGTACATTATATTCGAGTATAACTGTAAGAAGATTTTTATTGAATACACCTTACTGTTATAATTTGCCGACTAAGGGGATACGTGAGATAAGTTTTACTATAATATAATCATGTATTATGTTTGAGAAAAATGTTCAATTGATTAATACAGGGGAACAAAGGGCGCGGTTTTGCATCAATTGATCTGATTATGCGATCAATTATATGAAGTGAAAGGAAGTCAATGCCAACCAAACAATCAATAATAATAATACCATTTAATAGTTTTAAGAGATATACAGTTATCAAAATTGAACATAACTTGTTTGTAGCACTCATTTAATGGTTATTTTTGCAATTTTCGTACAGAATATTCAGTGCCAGAAAATCATAGAATTAGGAATACTGTATATTAACTCTTCAACATTACTTTGTTATCTATTCGTATATATTGTTTGATATAATTTATATCACTGTCATATAACATAAAGTTCACAATTTATTCGAACATTTGTCGGGAGTTTCTATAAATTTGCCAAGATCAGAAAAATAAAACATAAGTCGATCCAATTATGACATATAAAAGCCAATGGAATGTGATTATCGGTATTGTTAAGTAATTTTATTCGCGAATTCCCGAAAAATAGAAATTCTAGTAATAGTTACTAAATCACTTGTAATTATGTTTGAATAAAGTTGCATTCGTTCAAAAATAAAGTAAAAATGCATTAATATTAATTTGTCGCAATATTAATTAACATTTTAATTAAAGTAATAATTTAAGCAAGTCGAGTTGCATGAATCTACATGTAAAAATTTATATTCTTTATATGCAATGCATGGCTAAGTTATTATAATAAAGATAGAATTGAAATAGAATTATTCGAAAAGTCTTTTAAAGGAATAAATATAATAGGTTTAATAAATATAATAAATATACTGTATGTCCATAAAAATGCAGTTTTTATTTTTAAACAAAATGTGTTTTACCTAAGAATCCTCTAATCTTACCACTCACATTTTATTGAAATAATATTGCACTAATATTCAAAATATAGAATATAAAGCATAAAAGTATAGTAATATAAAATATTCTAATACGAGTTTTATTTGTTATATAAAATTAGTGTATAATTTATGTAATGTTTGTAATATTCTGTGCAAAACATACTTTGTTTGTAAAGAATATGTGAACAAAATTCATAAGCATTTGATGTAATTCTGTGTATAAATGGATATTCCAGTGATTGCCTCCAAATTTAAAAGACATTTTCAAAGACACAGAACATGCTTGCAATGAAAGCAAGTATTGAATCATTTTGAACGATGTAAAGTGGATTTGAAAATCACAGCCCCTTTGACTCGTATTTCTCATATTTTATTATTTTTGTTGGAAATTAATTTGAGAATTGAGTTAATGTGGAAAAATATCTATTTATAAAAATAGTTACTAATTGCCATACAATGTGTTGAGAGATACATATATCCATTCATTTTCTTAATTTCATTCATTCCTTTCACTTCTATTGATTGAAAATTAATTATTGTATTTAATCATAAAATTATTAAATTTATCCTCAGTTTGTCTAAAAGAGTTATATTAGTTAAATAGATAACCAAGTTTTTTTTATAATATCATCTAAATTAAAAACTTAAAATGAAATATTTACTATTGATCTTAATTGTGCCCATAATTGGGATCAGTTGTAGCGGTGATGAGGACATAGAGAAGTGCATTACAAGCGATTTCCATAAGAAAAGGCCTTCAAAAGAAGATGTTCTCCACAAACAGGTAATCATAATCGTTAAAAATTCATATCTAATGGTTGGCCATACAGTGCGAGCCCTGGAAAGACTATTCCTGCTGTACAAACGGGCGGACAATTTCGTCCCATCAATCGATAAATCACTACAAATTCAATCTCAATCACTGTCCGACTCAACCGATGAGCAATAAATGTCGGAAACACTTCACTCAGGACTTGTGTTTCTACGAATGCGAGCCATTCGTGAAGCCATGGATTGTAAAAACCAACCGATCTTTCGCTGAAGAGAGGATATATAAAGTTCCCATTTGTGCGTCCGATTGCGACCAGTGGTGGGAGGATTGCAAAGACGACTACACGTGTACTAACAATTGGGCCCGAAATTTCAAGTGGACGAACGGATCCAACGTCTGTCCCCATGAGTCACAGTGCGTACCCATGAGGCAGATATATACCAGCGCTAAAGAATTCTGCGAATTGGTATTCACATCGATTGGTGAACTGTATGACAATGTAATGACTTATTGTATAACTAAATACAGGTTTGGGATCACTCGTGGAAATACTCAGTCGATAAGCATTGCATGAAAATCTGGTTTAAGGCATCCGAAGGAAACCCCAACAAAGAGACGGCCAAATATTATGCTAACCTCGCGGCCAATGTTTCGCACACAACATATTTTTCAAGTTTTATTTTGCTTTTCACTTCAATTTTGCATTTAATTTATTAATTGTTCGCAAAAACAGACAATTGTTTTATTTAAAAATAGGTTTTAATATAAATTACAAAACTTAAAATCCAATCAAATTAGTTGTACAAAACTGCCAGAGATTTCATTTAAATCCTATAAAACAAAAGATTTTATTTTATTAACAGATTTTAAATAAACGGAATAAAAATCACTAACTTTTTGACCACTTGTACGACGTCTTCGTCGTTGAGGAGATGATCTTTGCCTACCTTTTGAGGGTTATGTTTGACAGATGTTCCCCAAACCAATGCACTGATAATACAAACGAATGATTAAATTTTAATTAAAACTATATAAACAATAAACTGATTGACTGACTATTTAAACTCTTTCATAATAGATTTGTGCAGTTTATTGCAAAAGTCCTCCACAGTGAGCCTGTCTTGGCTTAGGATTACAGGCGACTCGTAATCAGGCAGTTGTCCCTTCGGTTTGGTGTAACTGTTCACACAATTTGTATTAATAACTCAAATAGTAAAATATGTGGTAATTATAGCATACATTCGCTGCAGTTTCAGATAATCCCATGTCTTATATCTGCGATAAGAATAATATGAAGAATTTTATTAACTTTCCAATTGTATGGCAACTGATTTGAGTGTATTTTTAAACATACAGTAAATCATCGAAATTCCACTTATGATGGGCTGAAATGGGAACCGTATGAGGGATTCGGTAGATAATGTCCAACTCTTCGATCGAGATTTGATCGATTTTATTGAGTATATAAATACACGGAACATATATTCGGTTGCCTTCCACCACATCTATCAAGTCATCACTCGTGGCGTCATATTTGATGAAGACGTCGGCGTTATGTATGCGGTATTCAGAGAGGATTGTCTTAACCGTCTCTAAATCCAGTTCCGTCTGCTGTACCAAACACTGCAGATTTATGCCTCCCTTGTCTTTCTTGCGGACCGTCAGCGCCGGCGGGTCTTTGTTCAGCCGTAGACCGAAGCCCTCCAACTCTTTCTCGATCAGCTTCTTGTGTTGCAATGGCTTCAAGACATCCAAAACAATGTAAATCAAAGTACAGGTTCGCGCCACTGCTATCACTTGACGACCGCGACCTTTGCCATCCTTAGCGCCCTCTATAATACCGGGCAAATCCAAGAGTTGAATCTTCGCGCCCTTGTATTTGATAACTCCGGGAACTAAACCGCAAATACAANCGCCACTGCTATCACTTGACGACCGCGACCTTTGCCATCCTTAGCGCCCTCTATAATACCGGGCAAATCCAAGAGTTGAATCTTCGCGCCCTTGTATTTGATAACTCCGGGAACTAAACCGCAAATACAAACGCATCGGTAATTAAACGTATGGTTAATAATAATCAATGAATCAATCAAACCAGTGGTCAAAGTGGTGAACTCATAGGCGGCCACTTCGGAGTAGACACCGGCCAAAGTGGTCAGTAATGTGGACTTCCCGACAGAGGGGAAGCCAACAAAGCCGATGCGGGCGTCGCCAGTCTTCGCCACATCGAAGCCCTCGCCGGCGGCTCCGCCGCCGCCCTTCGGTGTAATCAATTCGCGCCTGAGTTTCGCCAACCGGGCCTTCAGTAGTCCCAAGTGACCCATCGTTGCCTTATTCCTCTGCGTCCGAGCCATCTGTCCGTTCAATACAAGCCTTAATATCATTGCATTCGCGGCACTCAACGCATACCTCGGCCTCAATGGCGGCGATCCTCTCCAGAGTACCACTCATTGTCTTTCGATATGAACGGAGACCACACTTTGTGACCACTCTTTCGCTACACAATCACAACACGTTTTCGCACAAATAGTATGACAACACTTCACACACTCCTTATATGACGTGCACTCACTGTGAAGGCAGGCGTTCACTAGATATCACTCATCACTGTATCTAAAAAGCATTGCATTCACTAAAGGGTAGCCAAAAGGGGGACTAAATGTCAACGAATAATATAACAGTATTTATGAACACTTGATATACAGTATTGAATGCCAAACGAGAAATGAATTGCATTTGATTTAAGCAAAAGATTTTCAATTAATTTATATATAAAACAAAATTTTGACTCAAATTGTAATGAAATGAATGAAACGCCGAATAAGTCGGACACCAATAGCGGACCACTTCCTCGGGGTCTCATCACAAGACGTGGCTCATCGAGACTGCCGTCACTTCGAGGCGATTCCCATTCGGCGTCGCTTCAGATGATGGGCTCGACTGCGGCCCCGATCACCACCAAAGGCGGTGCTCTTAAGCGCACGTTTAAGCCAACCATTCCTCAGAGGCGTAACCCTAACGAAGACAATTCGCTGGATGTGAAGCCACCCAATGATAATCACAGTCATAGCAGAAGAGGTAGACCACCGAAGACACCCCATAATAATAATAGATCCAAAGCCCATGACTCGAAGAATTGGGTGCAAACCGAAGGCGCTGTCTTCAGGGGTGAAGACAATCCCGCCCTCAGATCCAGTCG